ACATCCCAATCCTACCAAAACCACCCTAACCGTTTTCACGCCTAATGCGCTTGCTCGGTCACAGCTAATCAGGATATAAATCCTCACTTGAGTTTACTTTGATGATGTCACTTACACACTTGGAAGTCTGGTTCCACCGTCAGATATAGTACAGTTTGGTACAGGCTTACCACGACCTTGGCATGCATTACTAAGTCACTTGTGGAGTTCGCCCACCGACTATCCGCAAGGAACAACGTACCTTCCCCAGTACTTGTTTAAGGGAATAAACCTCGACCTCATACCCTGCTCCAACACTAGCTAAGGACTTAGAGGAGACTCACCCAAACCAGTGGCCTATCCAAGCACCACTCTCAAGAGACTCTATGTGAGCTCTTCCAGTTCAAAAACATTTTCCCTCTCCTCAAGTCCTAGGCTAGACACATGCCATAAGGCATCATATGCAATAATGCATCATACATCATACATGGTCAATCCACCATCATGATCAATATCATCCTCATATGAACATATACACATGTCATATCATATTTAAACATTCATATATATCATTACCAAGAGTACATATGAATCATACATCACCATACATCATATGCACACTGGCTGCTGATGTGACCCTTTCCATTACAATTGAAACATGTGACATCCTTGTCAAGACATTCATAGCTAGTGTGACCACGTCATCCACACTTCTTGCATCGATCCGAGGGAGTAGACACAAGCCTCCAACACTCCCTGTGCCACTCACAACAGATCCTCCAGCATAAGGCTTGCTTCCTCTAGCATGTGACTTGCTCCCACTAGCAACAGATCGACTCCCTTGGAACTTAACAAGAGCAGAGTAAGGTTTACTCCTACTCGAAGCACCAGAACTTGCAGCACGCATAGGACCTCCAGCTCCCTTGTAGAAAGTAGCACGTGCACGGTTGTCATGATCATAGATGCTACACTTGTTAACTAGAGTAGGAATAAATCTCCTAATAGTTGTTTGCAGTCTTTACCTCAAGATGCAGACCATTTACAAAATTTATGCACCTATCTCTTTCACCAACCTCACCATGGTAGTTAGTAAAATAGCGAACAAAAACATCAAATTTGGCAGTATACTCTGCCCCTATGTCATTCCCTTGCTTCAGCTCAAGGAATTCCACTTCCTTTTGGCTCCTCACATCATCCGAGAAATACTTCTCAAGGAAGACCCTCTTGAAGTTGTCCCAATTCAAGTGCACCCTTCCATCAATCATCCTCTATAGTGCTCCTTCCCACCAAAAGTAGGCATCAACAGTCAACATGAAGGTGGCCAACTTCACCTTCTGAGCGAGGGGACACTCCATGGCATTGAAGATCTTCTCGATCTCCGTTAGCCAAATCATAGCAGCATTTGGGTCATATCCTCCTTTGAAGGTAGGTGGACGATTGCGCTAAAATTGCTCCAACCAGTTAGGAGCAACTCCAACCTTGTTATTATTATTCACAACTTGTGCTACGCTTGAAGAGCATGAGCAATAACACGATCATTTCTGTTAAGTCAAACGAAGCAACTCCCAGTAAGGTTTTGAGTGAGACAAATATAATACATGTTGTTATTACTAACAAGTGTGTTAGTGTTTCAAAAAAATATAAGTATAGGAAAAATGAAGAAAAAAGCATGTGCAACTTCCCACACCAGAACCAAGACAAAGGGTAAAGAACTATAAAGCATCAGATGAAGAGATCAAGCGAAGCGAAGCCTCTCCTAGGTGAATGTGTGACGATGCATTAGATGATTGATAAGCATTGATATCTTTCATGAGTTTCATTTACTACATGAGTAGTGTATGATAGAGTGTATGGTGTGACTATATGAGAATGATTGGTGATTTGATGATGGTATAACATAGATGTTTATTCTTATGCTTACATGATTGATTATTGAACTCTAGCTAACCCTTCTGTTTCCATATGGATGGACTACGATGATCATACTATGTATGGGAGCAGGTCAGGGTTAGGTTGGAGCTGATTGTTGTGACCACTACGGGATGTGGAGTTTTGTCCTAATGTTAGAGTTACCATCTTGGATAACTATTTGATTGTACTTCACTGGCACTAGGAGAGTATTATTATTTTGGATGACTATATATATATATATAGTATTATATTTTGTGCATAGAAATGTAGTTTATTATTACTTTTATATACATGTATGTATTTGGTTATACAATTTAATATCTTCTCTTAGTTCACTAGTGTAATTAGTGTGATTCTATTGAGTGTAGGGATCATGGCGGGGCATTACAACTAACAATTATTAATAAAATGTAAATGTAGCCGTTAGTTACATTAAAAATATCAGGTACATATTTTTTTTCTTATTTTAATTGTATTATAATAAAATTTGTATATAAAAAACTTTTGGCTATCATTAATGAAACTTAAATGCAGAACTAATGAGTAATTAATTGCATTTAAAAGAAGAAAAAAATTATAATGCATTAACATTAATGTCAATTGATTTTTTATATGTGAAATATTAAAATATCTTTTACGAAATTTATAACATAATAATGAATAATTTTTTTGTAATTAATAATTTTACTTGAATTATAAATAACCATTATAATTAATTATGTAATAAAAGTATTAAATAATTAAAATTATTTATATATTTTCTATTCAAATATTTATATATCAATATTACTTTACAATTTATATTTTCAGTTATTTTTTATAAGTTCTATTTTTATTTGAACTTTAAATTTTTTGTTTGTCGAAAACTAGTCTCCATTAGAACTTTGACTATATTAAGATTATCTCAAATAATCATAAAGTTTGAAGATCAATTGCATTACCAATTAGACAAACTTACATTGATTTTAAATTTTAAATTTAGTAGTATTTTTAAAATTTAGCAGTATTAATAATTAGTAAATTGCTATTATTAGTAATTAGTGTAACACTATAAGTTTTTTATTGTTTAGATGTTTTGAAGTGTGGTTGAGAGACCTTGGAAATTAAGGGACTCTTGAGAAGTTTTTAAGTGTTTTAGAGGGTTTCTCTAGGTTAAGGTCTAATTTGATTATGAGGGAAAATATATAAGGTTTAGGGTTTAGGGTTTCTTTTAAAATTTGAGTCTCATAAACTCATTTCTTTGAGAAACTAGAGAGAAAAGTTAAAGAGAAGCTAGATCTTAATTTAGTTGTGCTTTTATCACCAAACCTTATCTTGAGAGGGTGATTTTTTCCCTGAAATCTTAATTTAGTTGTGATTTCTTGATTCACATCAGTGAATCGTGAATCATAGTCGTTGAGTTATGCAAAGTTTCCTAGCGAAACTTTTCTTCCTTCTCTATCTTTTTATTTGGAGTTGAGGTAAGAAAAACTAGAATTGATTTCATGTTAAATCCTTGAGTTGTTATGTATTGTTGATGCTTTAAAGGAGGAGTTGGTGGCTACTATGGTGGAAATTGAATATGCCCTTTTCTATAGGGTGGCATAGGTTATGGTTGGAATATGATTCATGGTTGGTTTTAAAAGCTTTTCATAATCCTATCTTGGTTTCTTGGTCCATTCGTAGTAGATGGAAACATTGTTTGCTTTTGTGCTCCAAGATGCAATTTCAAGTTTTTCACGTCTTCAAAGAAGATAATCAATGTGCTAATAGATTGGTAGCTTATAATTTAGCTCATATGAGTGATTTTGTTTAATGGAACACTTTACTGTCTTCTATTCATCGGAGTTTTTTTTTTAATAACTATGTGGTCTTTCTTCTTTTAGATTTTGTTAACTTTTTCTCATGGACTTTGGTCTAGTCTCCCCATGGCTTTGTATTATTTTCAATTTTTATTTTTATATATTTGAGTGTGTTGTAAATGAATGATAGACTTTGAGATGTAAACGTTATTGATATATCTTTGTCTTATAATGATAATGTACATGCCTAACTATATATTAAAAAAACATAAAATTCAATTAATATTAATATTAATCATTATAACATCACAAAACAATAATTGCATTAAGTATTTAAGTTTTAAATTAAATATAAATAAACATTCACATAAAAAAAAATTATAAAACATATTTATTATTGAATTAAAAATTCACCTAAAATTTTTATATCGCATTTTTTTTCAACAAAAATATTTATATTTTATTAATTTTTTAATGTTTCACGTGTATTCTCCATAAAACTTTATAACATAATATTAAATAATCATTTGGACAAAAGCTATGTAAATATTTTTTATTACATAATAATTTTTTAATATGATTCATTACTAATCATACTAAATTTACATTTCTTTACCGATTATTAAAATCTCGTTTCTAGAAAATATTATCTACATATCTTTATTTATATTTATAAAATTTATTAAATATAAATGGTATCATGAAATATTTATAACTTAACTCATTTAATTTTCGAACAATATGTTATAATATAATACTAATATAATTATATTGATTATAATTATTGCTTTATATATATTAAAAAATTATTTTGTGAGTTTTTTTTTTTAATTTTCAAAAATTTATTGAAAAAATAACTAAAATGTTCTTACTTGTCTTCTAATACTAACTATTTTCAATTTGGTCTTCAAACATTGTAAAAGTAATAATGGCAGTTCATTTTTAGATGAAATATACAAAAGTAAAAATATTAAAATAATTAGTAGATATTTAGAAAATTATTATAAAATTAATTTTAAATTATAAAACTTAATTTATATCTTAATAACTATCCCATAGAGTTTAAATGAAAATTAAAGTCAATTGATATAAAAATAAGAAATTGTGTATAGAAACAATTCCTAACCTTTGTACAGAGAAATTAAGAAAAAGAGAGAAAATGACCTTTGTACTCTTTAATTGTTGCTCACTACTATTTCTCTCCATTCTTATCTTATTTCTATTAATTTTAATTAAAAATAAATTATGGCATAAGTAAATTAAGTTTATTACCTAAGCCCAGTTTTTCCTATAAATACCTAACCAACACTCCCTAATTCTTCATACACAAACCCACATCTTCTCACCCCACTCTCTTGTATGAGAGTTCCAAAACACTAAGCCTCCCTCTCTCATTTTTCTTTTCCCTTCTTCTAAAACACCACATTATCCCCATTCACCTTCATCCATCAAACAACCTTTATCACTTTCTTCCTTCTTCCATCATACAAGAATCCCAAAACATCTATTTTCTTTTATTTATCACCTTCACTCACTCAAGGTACGAAGGAAGTGAGGATTGATCTCTTTAAACTTTTATTTTACTTTATTATCATTTATATATATATATATATATATATATATATATATATATATTTTGTTGATTAAAACTTCTTATTCATTCCACTTGGATCAACTGTTGTTCTAAATTTTGTTGGAATATTTATGAATGTTATTTTGCTTTGAATAGTCTGGGAAATACTCTAAATTAAGGGGAGACTTTGCCAAGTTTTTTCTAGAATTTTTAAAGTTTATTTCATATTTTTTCATAACCAAGAACTTTTACCCATAAACTCACCAACCTAGATCCAAATTCAACATGACTGAATCAAAATTTCATAATTTTCGTTTCACTTATTCAAATGATCCGAAATTAGTTTTGTTGGAAACTAGACCTAAGAGTATTCAATTTAGGCTTTGGGATCACTTAAAAAGGATTTGAAACAAGGTAGACAATTGCTACCTAAATTTGGGCTCCAAATATGAAAATCCAAGATGAATTACCTGGGTTTTATAAATTAACTGTATCAACTAAGGATACTTTTCAAAATTATTTTTATATATTAAAAAACTAGACTTTATGACATAAATTTTATAATTTTTTGATATGATTTACTATTTTAAATGAAAGCATTTTCTAGAAAATGAATCTAGAGTTTTCCAAAATTCTAGGAAACTATGAACATTATATTCAAAAAGTTACTATAAATTATTTATTAAGAGTTAATTTATGATCTTTGGCTTTCTGGAAAACTATTAAGATGTATAATACTACTAAAAAATATTTAATTATTTTGAAAAGGTTATTAACCTCTAAAGTTCAGTTTTAGCGTGGGAGGAAAAGTATTTGTTTTTCAAATTCTCTTTTTATTATTAAATAATAAAAATTACATATTTTCATAATTTTTAATAGAGTCAAATAATAATAAAAAAGTATAATTAATACTTTATAAAAATTGTACTTTATACAAAAAAAATCATTTTTTAACTTAGTTTCTTATAATAAGAACATGAAACATTATTAATAATGAATTTGATTAAAAAATAAGTTTGTACATCACACAAGTGACTAATTTAATTATTATTATTGTTGTTATTATTATTATTATTATTAGATTTATTTTGAGTTAATAAATAATGGGAATTAGTAAAATATAAAGAAGGGACAAGTAATTCATTCATTTGTTTTTTTGTTTGAAATCTGTTCATTCATTCAAAAGGAAAAAATGGAACTAGCTCAAGAAATTTTGTTTGCCTCATAAAGTGTCTTTAATTGGTAAAAGTTTAGTACCGATCACGTATTAGGATTTGTGGTATTAGTTGTAACACTTGTAATATATTTTTTGAGTTTCTAATGTTGAAAATGCCAAATGTTTATTACTTCTTAAATTTATAGTTTTTAATATTTTAAATAGAACTTTATAATGATGATAAAAAAATTTATAATATTAAATATTTTATTAATTGGAGACATGAGAATATATTTATAAATAAAAAATCTAATGTAATTTTATTTTTAATTTTTTATCTTATAAATAAATCTAATGAACCAATTCAATTCAAATCGTTTCATTGAATCAAATTGGCTTTTGAGACTAAAATAAATCAAATTAGTTAAATTTAATAAAAATTAATCAGATCGAATCAAAATATATTTTAAATTCAATTTAATTCAATCCATGTCCACCCCTAATAACTATAGAAGAGTTTAAATTTAAATTTCTACTTTTTTATATAACAACAAAAGTAGTTAAATATTTAAAAATAAAAAATAAAAAATTAACCTTTATATTTTAATTAGCTAGTATTCTAAAATTGCTTTAATTTGTGTGTTAAAAAGGTAACATCTACGAAAGGAATCTAGTTCGGTGCACAGCACAATACGTCTTGATATAAAGTTCGTTTTTCATGAATAAAAAAAAGGTAACTTAATCCCATTAAGATTTGTTTAGTAGTGAAAGTGGAGATAGTTTGTACAAAATTCTAAACTTTAATTTTAATTATTATTCTATAAAAATAAAAATATTTGATCCAACAAAAACAATAATCTAACTTTTGGTCATATTTTTTTTAATATACATTAATATATATAAATGTATTTTCTATTAATATTGATATTATATATATATATATATATATATATATTCATATTTTAGTATATATTATTAATAATATTACTATAAGTCATTTATAAATATAAAATTATTTGCGAAAAAAATATCTACATTTGTTAAATTTGTGTTTTTCTAAATATTTATGACATATATATTAACATATATTTTAAAAATTAAAAAAAAAATAATAGAGAAATACATTAAAAGATGTGATAATATTAAAAAAAAAAAAGTTGTAGACTATAAATTTAATATCACTACACGGAATGGGTTAATATGCTAATTAATAGAAATTCGAAGGATATTATGCAGTAAGAAATAAGGATAATTAAAGAAGGAAAAATATATTTTTTCAACTGTGGTTCAAATATTATTATTATTTTTTTTGGTTTTAACTTTAGTTCAAATATAATATTAAATTGATAGGTTTGAATAGATTAAGGACACGTAATTGAAAGAAAATTGGAATGATATTGAGAATAAAAAAATTTTAAGTATAAAAATTAACAAAAATAATCTAATTATAATCATTAAAAATTTAAGAATGTTAATTGTTAAGGTTTATAGCAAACTAAAATTACCCATTATGTTGCTGAAAGAAAAATTAAACCCGTTCAATATGGGGTATGAAATAAAATAATGTTACAAAGAAACAGAAAAAGAGTCTCGTAATACCATTCCCACGTGTAAAAGATAGAGCTGTTGCTAATGGTAGATCCTACAAAACTTTGTATTGCATTAGAGACAAGAACAAGAGAGTGTGTCGGTTTGACATTCAATAAGGGAGTACTATCTAAATTCCCATAAATAACGATTGAAGTTGAAGGACACATCTCTTATTAACTTTGGGAGAGGCTGCACTCAAAAAAAAATAATAATAATAAATAATAATAATTATCATACACTGATACATACATGTCACTAAAAATTATTTTTACTAATAAGTATATTCTCATGATTGTTAAAAAGTCTAATTATGAGTTATCGTAACATATAATATATATTATTAAATTTCATTTAAAATAAATATAAAATTATGTATAAATATATCAAATAGACTTATACATAAATATAGTGTTTAGAATGGGTTTAATAGGCCCCAACATATCTTGAAATTATAATGGTTATAAGATTATATTGGTTGGTCTTATATATTTATCTTGTTCAATTTGAGTAGATTTTACCTTACTTTTTTCTCTTGTTCATGTTGAGTAGATTTTCCTAAAATTTACAATTTAGTTTGTGGAACTACAACAGTTAATTTTCCCATCTTCAAACAGTGAACATGATAGCATTTATATTAGGTTTTGACACCTATGGTGTTTGGGTTTATTAATCTGTCTGCTTTGTTCATAATTGTATGAAAGCATGTAGTTTTGAAAATGAACACTTTATCTTCATTTTCTTGTGTCATGTATTGTCATACAAAATACTTACTCAACTGTGCTTCTGTAATAGTAAAATGTTGCAGTCAGGGATCAAAATATTTAATGGTAACATGAAATGAATTTGACCATTATACTAATATATTAATGGGAAGTTGGGAGCCATATAGATAAGGTATGAAACAACATTTGGATTTGGACCATACAAAATTCGGATAGCGTGAAGTTCTATTGAATGTTTCAATTTCACCAAAAGTATTCAAACACAAGCAATTACAAAATGATCATAATACTGCAAAACCCTGCATCAGACTTGACATTCCCGTATTTAGTCTCATAATTTTCTATAAAAGCAAAAAATCGTCTCACTCTCATAGTTTGTAACCAAGTTTTAGATGATTTTAATGTGCAACAAAAATCTTTGATTATTCTTGAATTTGCAGAGAGAAAGGCTAATACATGTACTTTTGTATATGGACAGATCAGTGAAAAAAGAACATCAAACTGGTTGGACTCATTTTGCAACTATGGATGCAGAAATTCCCAATCTTGGAAGCTCCTTACCGGTTCCTTCCGTGAAGGAGTTAGTAAAGCAACCAATGAAAAATGTTCCAGAAAGATATATTCATCCCAATGAAGATCCTCTTTCTGTACCTTACACAACATCTTTGCCTCAAATTCCTGTCATTGACTTGAGTAAATTGTTGTCTGAAGATGCAACTGAACTAGAAAAACTAGACCATGCATGCAAAGAATGGGGTTTCTTCCAGGTTTGGGTCATATTCCTACTTTGTTATATTTTTCCTAGTTAAAAGGTCCTCCAAGGTTGTAAACTAAGCTTAAATTATAAGTGGTGGCAATAACACAAGTTTGGGTATTATTCCTACCAAAAATCATGCAATTTTCAACTTTGTTATAACAATCAAGGCTAATAAGTATACAGCAATAATAAAAGCCTTATCACAGTAGGTGAGGTTGGCTACATGAGTGACACTATCGTTTTGCTGATTAAAGACCATATCTTCAAAGAAAACTACCTCTAGTCCCCAACAAAGCTGAGAATTTTGTTATTTGCAAAGCAGTTTTTTTTTTTCACTCTAACCTCTCAATAAAGCTAATTTTTGGCTCAAATCTTGCACATTAGTCACTGAAGGACTTGAAAAAACAAAGCTTTCACCTGTTTCTCTCTGGTCTCGAGCAAACTCAACAACCTCACAAGCTAATTACAGAAGTAGTAAAATGATGTTCATTTCAAGTCTCAATATTAGGAAAAAGGAATAACATCTCAAAGAATATTGTTCTTAACTAATAAAATGAATGTTTATATTATTAACTTATAAGTAAAAGAGCATGTTTGGGTAAACTTCTGATTTTTCTAGAAGTACTTGTTGTGTATAAAGGAATTAGTCTCAAGTTTTCAGCTGGAGATATCTTAAATTCCAAAAATAAAAAATAAAAAACTATAACCATTAATGAATTTTATTTTACACACTTGTGATCGTGTCATGTAAGAAACTTCTGCATATGAAATTGTAGAAAATTAATAAGAATGCAATGTAGTTAATATTATTTGTTCTGTAGCATTTTGAATACTTATGCAGTATAATTACAGCTTATTAATCATGGAGTCGACCCTTCATTGATAGAAAATGTGAAGATAGGTGTACAAGAATTCTTCAATCTTCCAATGGAAGAGAAAAAGTTGTTTTGGCAAAAACCAGGAGAAATAGAGGGATTTGGTCAGACGTTTGTTGTATCAGAGGAACAAAAGCTAAACTGGGCAGACATATTCACTATACACACTTTTCCATTAAAGATAAGAAATCCTCGCTTATTTCCTAGTATTCCTCAACCATTCAGGTTATTTATTTTTCTCTATTGTATGAATTTATATTTACCCTTAAGTAAAACATTATTTATCAAATTTTGTTTGTAACTAAAGCATACTTTGTCTCAATGCAGAGATAACTTAGAGTCCTACATTTTAAGAATGAAAATCATTTGCATCACAATAATGGGCCTTGTGGAAAAATTGCTAAAGATCAAACCCAATGAATTGATTGATTTGTTTGAAGATATAGATATGGGTCAATCAATAAGGATGAACTATTACCCTCCATGCCCCCAGCCAGAAAATGTAATTGGACTGAATCCTCATTCTGATGCTGGTGCCCTTACAATCCTCCTCCAACTCAATGAAATGGAAGGTCTTCAAATACGAAAAGATGGCATGTGGATTCCTATTAAACCCCATTATAATGCTTTTGTCATAAATGTTGGTGACTTTTTGGAGGTAACTTGTGTAGATTCTTTCTAAATATTCTCATATCATGTATCCTAAGTTTTGTTGGTACAATTTTTTAATCAAAATTAAAGTTTTATTTTGGTAATGTGCATTGCAAATTAATAGAATCATTTACATCTACATTAACAAAAATTTAAAAGTAAGAAATTTATAATACACACTAACATTTTGATTTCAACACTCTTCAATTGTTTTTGGCAGATACTGACCAATGGAATTTACCGTAGTGTTGAACATAGAGCAATAATTAACAATGTTAAGGAGAGGATGTCCCTTGCCGTATTTCACAAGCCTGACTTGAACAGAGTCATAGGTCCAGTTCCAACCCTTGTTAAACCTGGAAGACCAGCTATGTTCAAAAGATTTGTTGTTGCAGATTACTACAAAGGATACTTTTCACGTGAATTACAAGGGAAATCATACCTTGATACTATGAGGATTCAAAATGAGGACTTTTCATAGGATGGAGCAAATGAAAATTGTACACTCAACAAACCATAGCTAATATACAACAATAATGTCAGTGAGTATTTATGCCTTCTGTATTGATTCGTTGTTTAAACACGAGATACCTTAAAAGCTATAGTGGATTGGAAAAATCATGTCATGGGACTTGAAAGGTGTACTTTTGAATTAGTGAACTAATATGCAGTGTGTGATATTTGAAATGCAGGAATCTAGCCTATATTTTTATGGATTAGATTGTTCTAGATTGAAGTTGTGAAAGTGGAAAATTTACACGATGATCTAATTAATCAAAAAATTACACTTTTAAGAACTATTTATTAAAAGGAGCTGTTATGTTACCAAAGTGGAGTTGATTTGTGTTGTGAACGGGGTTAACTCATCACTTCCAACTAGCAAATTTAGTGTCACGTTTGTATTTTTCTTTTATTTCTTAAATTGGATTAACAATGTTTGTAACATGTCACGATGTCTTATTTGCCTTATTAACTACTTTGCAATGCACTATAATTTGATAGACAAGTAACATAACATGTTACATGTATTGCTTATTCAATAAACTTTCTTAAGACCATGTATGGTATAACTGTATAAGTATAAAGTTGATTAATTAATGAATAACTTGACTAATTATTTTTAATGGAGTATTTTCTACTATCATATTTTTTTATTACTTATGTGTATTTTTTATTTCAAAATTAGAAGTTCCAAAAAGGTTGATTTTTTCCTATTCTTTTTATTCCTTTTCATATACTTCATGACCAAGTCATTTATTTGCATGTCTTATATTTCCAATATTGATGGTTAAGGAATGGTTCACGATGAATGACATTCAAGTTAGGTAAAGGATTTGAGCTGGATGGGTGGTTTGAGTAGTGTCCAATGTAACATCATGCTAAATTCGAATTTTCTAAATAATAATAGGACAGTTTATAAAATAAAATGGGGTAACGTAACTAATTAGTAAGCTTAATTAATAATGAGAAAAAGAAGCTCATTGAGGTTCCAATAAAAGAAGACTAATTGGCAAAAACACATACTATCCACCACACTTTGACCTGTAGAAAAGGGGAAAAAGCAAGCAAAGAAAGAAAGGAAAAAAGGAAGCAAATAGGAAGAAAAAAAAGAATAAGACCTCAAACCATAGGAAAATCCTTGAAGTCGTGCTTCCAAGTGAGTACATCGACCCTTGTATGCTCTCCCCTTCTCATAATTATTTGTTCGTTGCATGTTCTTTAATTGTAATGATTAATTAAATGTCGTTGATTCTCTATTGGGATTCTAACAGGGATCGTTAGTATGTCATGTTAAGGTTTATATAAAAGGGTTTTTTCTGCTACCAATGATAATCCTTGCATGATTAAGAGAGTTGAGAGGGGATTTTTGACATAATATGCTATATGACTTGTTTGCGTGCCTAATTGAGTAAAGAGGGGCGAAAAGGGTCATGGAAGTCGAAGACTACCTTTATTGCACACTCGCATTGTGCAATAAGCATAACTGTGTTAAGGGGAGCACAATTGTGAAGGGTTTAGGTTTTATCCTTCAAAGATATACCGTTTTTGTGAAGCACAATAATGCTAAAGGTTAGCACAACCATGATGTTAGAATAAATGATGAACTAGAATTCCTTAAAGTAAGTTTATGTTTTAATGATAATAAATAGAAGTATTTTTAAAGAATAAAAGATATATATGTAGAAAGACGAAAGTATGTTCTTTACAAAAGAATAACAAAGACTATTAAAATCTTGAAACATTGATCATTTAAACTACATACTGTATTTTCATATTTTTTTTAATTTTACTTGAACTAAACCTTTTTTTTTTTTAATTTGTAAGAAATTTACATACATCATAACTTATTATTACTCATCACGATAATATACAAGGATCATAATTGTATACATTAGAATACCATAAATTAAATAGGATGGTAAGATGATTTGTCTCTTGAAGTCATGACTTTGTACTTTCTCTTAAATCCACTTGTGTAGTTTTTATAGATATTTGTTATAAGATATGATCTTTTTCTCCTTTTATCTCAAGTTTGACGAGATTTTGTACAAGTTTCATCATTAGTGCCATATGTGATTAGACATATTTATAAAGATAGTGGAGAGAGAATTTACCCTTTAATGTAAAGTTACAATTGTTCAAGTCATACCCTTTCATCAAGAGTTATGATGCTCTTACCCATCAAGGGTCTATCTAGGGATGGCAAAACCTGCACTCGCGGGTATTTGCGGGTAAAATTCGTTACAGATAATAAATGCATAGGTTAATTGGGTACCCGCGGATAATGGAGACGGATAATTTTTTACCCATTTATAAACGGGACGGGGCAAGTATGATGATATTCATACCCGTTTAATAATATTTCTTAAATATCTTAATTATCCTTGTACCACATAACCTTAAAACTACATTCTCTCATCTTTGTGATATGAGACTTTTACTTACTTGTGAGATTGATGTATTTTAAGTTATTGATTATCTTGCATTTTTATTATTATTTCAACAAAATTAACGTTAAATACAAGTTCAAAATTAACATTGAATTTTTATTTTTAATATTTCAATGACATTAAATATAAACTTAAAATTATTTGTAATATATATATTTTTTAATTTCTTAAAAAATTTATAAATATTCATGGATATCCGTGGGTATTCAAAAAATTCATGGATACCCGCGTGGATATAAAGTGGGTATGGGATCAATTTTATCCAGCGGGACGAGGACGGATTTACTATTACTCGTCCCCATGGAGCCCCATTGCCATCGCTAGGTCAATCCAACTATAAGCAATATTATTTTATGTATACTAACATGTGACTTCCAATATCTATCGATCACATAAAATGAATATTTCAAATACTGTTAAGATATCATACAACTAATATTTTATAAATCAATGGAAGAACAAAAAATAGAAAATAAACATGATCAATGCCAATCAACAAGATTCATTAATTGGAACTATAGGCAATGAATAAACATTTAATTTTTTGTCTTATGTAATCACACAATAAATATACTTATTGTCATGATCACCTAATAAATCTACTAGTGTAATACACATCATAGTATATTAATGTGTGATCTAATCATATTACTATGTACAAGTCCTCATTATGTCTTCCCACATAGACATAATCAATCTCATGAGGAGATTCATCCTTATGTGAAATTTATTTCATAAAACATATATCAACATCATTCCAAGAAAGACCTTTTTTTAAAAATATTGTCAATCTCTCCAAAGAAAAAAAGATCTCAATCACATTTCACTTAAAGCACTATTTCTACAAGGAAACTAGAGATGCACACTTCATAATGATAATCATTTCCATCAAAGAAACTAAAGATGAACATCTCAAAATATGCACAATAAAATTGCATAAGACATATATTGATGCAATAATATTAATAAAATAGAAGAAAGAAAGAAAAATGAAATACTTTATTAACGTAATTACATTAAAAAAAATATAATAAACATCAGTTCCCACTATTCAAATACATAAAAAAAAATTACTATTCCCATACTTTCAACATTTCTTGTGAACATTATATTATAGGTCTAAGACCTTTCATTAAAGGATCAATAATCATTTCATTAATGGATATATGCCTAATTGTGATTTCTTCTTGCTCCACCATTTCTCATACCATTAAGAATTTAATTCTTATGTGTTTAGAAGCAGAAGTAGTTTTATCGTTCTTTGTAAGGAAAATTATAGAACTATTATCACAATATATCTTTAATGGTCTAGAAATCAATCTACAATACCAAGTGTAGAAATAAAAATAATTCTAACCACATTACATGAGTTGTTGCACCATATAATGCTACAAACTCTGTTTGCATGGTTGATGGGGCCATCAAAGTTTGTTTAAAGTTATTCCAAGATATAGCTCTTCCAACCATCATGAAGATATACCCAGAAGTTGATTTCTCATCATTAGGGCATCCAACAAAATCAACATTTGAGAACTCTCACATTTAAATCACCAACTTCTTTATAAATAAGCATATATTCCTTTTTATATTGCAATTAACACATGACCATTTTATAGCAACAATCTAGTATGTATATCCAAGGTTAGATAAATATCTACCCAACACACTTACAACAAAAGACAAATCAGGTCGAGTACATATTTGAGCATACATTAAGCTTCCTACCACACTATCATATGTAACATTGGACATTGCACTCATTTCAATGTTGTTCTTAGGACATTGATCCTTACTTATTTTGTCTCCTTTAACAATTGAGGAGTCTCTAGGTTTTCACTTTTCCATATTAAATATTTTCAATATTCTTTCTATGTAAGACTTTTGAGATAAACCTAAGAGTTTCCTTTTTTTTTCATCTCTATAAATCTCAATGCCCAAAACATAAGATACTTCACCTAAATATTTCATATCAAAATTATAAATAAAAAAATAAAACAAAACAAAACAAAAACAAGGCCCTCTTGCTCTTAGTAGCAAATCAATATTATTACTAGCAAGTAAAATATTATCCCCATAAAGAACAAGAAAAATAAACTTACTCCCATAGACCTTGAGATAAATGCATTGATCCACTTTATTTTCCTCATAGTCCATGGAGGAAACAACTTTATCAAATTTAATATACCATTGTCTTTAAGCTTTCTTTAATTTATAAATGAATTTATTTAATTTGCACACCAAGTGCTCTCTTTCATTCTCTATATATCAACCCTTCATGCTGTTGTATATAAACTTCTTCATAGAGATCACCATTCAAGAAAGTAATTTTAATGACCATTTAACAAAATTCTAAATTATAGTCAGCCACAAGAGCCATTATGACTCTCTCTCTCTCCCTTGCAAGATACCTTTAATTTTAAGATTTTGGTATCTAAACATTAAAAAATATAATAATAACGATAATAATAATAACTCAATAAAATTAAAATAAAAAGAATCTTTAATATATTAGTTATAATCACTTCAGCTAATTTAAATTAAAATATAAATATTAATTAATATTATCAGTATATATACTTATCACAACCATCTTAATTACTACAATTAAATATAATAATATGGTTTCATGAGAAATAATCTTCAATATATTAATTGTGTTATAATCGGTTAATTCACGTTTAAAAAGTATATTGATTAATATTTTCAAAATATATATTTTTTTATAATCAATATATTTTTTATAAATTAAAAATATATTTGTGACACCCTCTACCCCAACATACATACATAATAATTATAAAAACATCTTCTTGGGTTAAATAAAATCTTTAGAATTAAAACAATGGTTCCACTAACATA